AAGGGGGAACCACCACCCGGCTTTAGCAGAGATCCCAGCAGCTGATGGTGCCGGGAACTGAGGGAGGCCTACCAGCTGAGACGGATTACTGGGAAGAACTGGGGGCTGCCTGAGCCACGGACTTCTATTTCTTTTCCTGAGATATGGTACCCCAGGCTGGGCAAAGGGGGAAGGAAGGACTGTGTGTGTTTGTGGGTGTTTTAAGGGACTTTGGGATTGTGATGAAGACATTAGGTCACTACTTTAAGTCTGTATAGCACTAAATAAACATTTCCTTTCCTTTTCATGAATCTCTGGCATTGAGAGATGTCTTTCCTGTAAGGCAGTAGCCATAATGAACCTGGGGGGGTCCTTTCAGTAATAGTATATTGCCCTTGGCCCCCTGCCCCGTTGTTCTGTAACACTACCCCCTCTATTAAAATGTACGTTCCTTGAAATTCTAAAGCAGGAATCTTTTTCTTCTCTACCCAAAGCACCTACCCTAGCACCAGGCATGCCGTCCATTAGCTGGTTAAATTCCTGACCAAGATATTTGAAAGGGGAGCAAGGTTCAAAGGTGAACTTCTCTTTTTTAATAAATGTAAAATACTAGAGCCTATTTTCCTGCTGAGGGGAATAATCCTATAGGTGAGAGTTTGTTGATGCAGGAGTGAGGGAACAATGCAAAAAGCAGATTATGTAGATAGAAAGTTTAGAGGCATACTGGTCAAGTTTGAGAAATGGAAGAAAATGACAGGACCCGGGATGCTGCCTCCGGAAGTGCTAGGCAACACTATGCCTGGAATCCTGACCAGTGTTCTGTGGTATACTGAATTTTATGACACATCAAGATGCTGCAATTTAAAAAAAAAAAGTCTTTTTTTTGCATAGCTAAAACATTAAAGCCCAGGGGGATTTTAAAAAGATAATAGCCTGCACATTTTTTTTAAAGTACTGTAAACCAAGAATGACATTTTCATTAGTGCCTCTTTCTCTTTCAGGAACTATGTGAAAAACAACATTTGCTTTATGAGTCATCACCAAGAGGACCTAGCATTGGAACAACTCCAAAAAAGAAAAACCTCAAGAGCAACCAGAACCATATAAATGCTGATGCAGTGTAAGAACATTCAGTATGATGTCTTCATACCAATACACACTGGCCACTCGCAGGTTTTGCCTTTAGTGTCTTGGAGCTAGTTTTAAAGGGACACTCTGAAATTATGAAGACAACCTTTAACCTTCACTCACAATAAGTAAATGAGGGGTAAGGTCCCAAGCATCTATTACTTTGGACAGGATAGGAGGCTAAACGAAACAAAACACTGTTTCAGCACTTTCGCCATTACACAGAGCAACTTTGAAAGACTGCACCAGTGTGCATACAGGCTGGTTGCGGCTTTATCATTCAGATGCTAAGTAGTCTAAACACAAGCTTACAGTTTGGTCCCCCACCCACACCCCCATTCCCAAGACACTACTTGCACTGAGTGTTGTGTAAAAAAGAACCAGGACATATGTGGACAATTGCATATATATTCTAGATATATATTCAGATAGGTTCTTGGCTCAGATTTTAGTGATAATTCCTAATTAACAGGTACAAGGATTATGTATCTTTTTTATGAATTATGAACTATCATGTAATACAAGATCTTTTATGTCATTAGTATTATAAAACCATGTGACAAGCAATTCTGCAATAGCTGAGAAAAATAAGCATCTTCCCATCCATTTAAAAACATGAATAGAAAGGACAACTTGAAATTCTTGGGACCATATTTATTTACAAGCAGCTGTTTGTACAACACTAGGAGTCAGGCCATCAGGTTATTTATGCAAATCTCTAAGCAATTAGATTTGACTTTTTAGCCAAGCTTATACAGTTCTCTTCGTAAGGCATTCATAACTTACAGTGATCCACAGTTTCCTGCAACCCTTCGCACTCCTCAGGACTATCGCTAACTCGGGCTGCGGCACACAGGCAGGCTGTGACCGATGCAGGCTTGCAGGTGACTGCAGACACTACATACGACATTCAGACAGCAGGACAATCCCCTCACTACTGAAGGGGATTGTGCTTCTCTTTGCTGAAGCCGAGATCACCAGCGACACCAGGAACTTCGGTTTTATCCGCACAACCATTTGGTGGCTCTCTTGTGCATCTCGGCGGTTAAATTTCAGAAGCTGGTGAGGCATTTTACTAACTGAATTTTGATATGATAGAAAATCTACAAATAAAGAATCTCAAACCACTTAGGTAGCAATTCAGTCAATTAGTTAATATATACTATAAACTATGGAAGACACTCAGAAAACTTAAAAGAATGAACCTAACTTGAAAATGAATACACAAATATGATTAACGTGAAGAAAAGAGAATCCTGAGTCAAAAAGAAAAACCCTTTCTATTTAGCTTGGAATTTTCCTACTGGCATGTAACAAATTGTCCCAAGTTGGATATTAGGGTATGTGAGCTACTGTATTTCCTTGTAACAAAGAGGAAGACTGATATAAGTAGTAGTAAAATTGTGTTCTCAGAGATTCAGAATGACCAAAAGTCCTGGTTCTGAAATGTATTATGCTGATTAAAACTGGCAGAGGGAGTTATGAGAAAAGGAGATTTGAGATCTCAGTTCTGTCATGGTGCACTTCACATGTGAGTCAGAGCCTGCATTTCTCCCCTTTTGTTTGTTTTGGTAGAAGGGAAAGTGTATTCTGTAGAAATTCACTATGAATCTTCAGTGAAATTATATTGAGATTTAAAAAAATCAAGATAGGTAATCAATGTACTGTGTTTTTTTGGACCGTAAGACGCACCTAGGTTTTAGAGGAAAATAGGAAAAAAATTTTTGAAGCAAAAATGTGGTAAAATACTTAGTAACAATTTCACCAATGTAAATGTAAACTACATTTACTAGCCAGGTAAGCTACATTCAGACTATAAGACACACCCCCATTTCTCTCCCAAATTCAGGGAGAAAGTGCATCTTATAGTCCGAAAAATACGGTAATTTTTTCCTCTTTGCCAACCATCACAGAATGTAAGATATTAAACAAAATTACTGTATCTTTTCTTTGAAGTTCAAATGCTATATATACTTTAGGTATCTCTTAGCCATTCACTGTTAATGGGCAGGGAAGTGTTTCAAACCCATTAGGTTTATTACTAGTGATTTTCACTTTGGAATCTTAAAAGACTTTTCTTTCAGTATTCTGAGTCTGTATGATTCTACCTTCAAACTAATGTTTACCCAATACACTCCCAATCAGAGCTTCTTGGTTTTCAAAAATAAAAAGGGGAAGTACTTATAATTTGTAGGTCTATATGCACAGTTTTTATTTATAAAAGAATTTACAGCACTTGTGAAAAGCCAGCGGAAGACATCGGTCACGCTCATTTCTCACCAGCGTTGCAAGGCTTTGTGGGTTCCGCAGGATGCCCTCCGCCCAGTGATGCCCGGACAGCAGCCCTGAAACCAGACCCTGTCAGAAGAATGCCGTCGCCTTTCCCAAGACAGTGTTCCGATGAGCCGCTCACTTACCTACCTACTTTTCAAGTCACTCGAATACCAAAAATGCTATGACCTCTGGTTATGTCACTGGGTCATATAATCATGTTTTCCCCCCTTGTTCATATTTCTTGTTTGGGAACACAAAAAAAGAGGAGGTCCCTTATGAATTACTGTTAATTAAAACTAAGTGGAAAATCTCAAATTTTTAAAAGTCTTTCCAGAACTTGTAACTTTTTCACTGAATTTTATTCTCTCTCTTATGAGGTTACCCATCATCCTACTGGAACTTTAAATGAAGCAAATAAATACAAATGTAAAAAAAGATAACAGAAGTCTGAAAATCACAATTAAGTTGTTCACAAGAAATATAAAAATTAGCCTTTGCCCTGCCTCCCCGCCCCACCCCAACCAAGCTTATGAGAGTGAGAAGCAGGGTAGGGGAAGGCGTGGAGAAGATAAAGCTAAAACGGTATGTATTGTTCAGTACAGTGCTTAAGCCAAGTTTTCAAGATTTTACAACTGGTAAGGGAAATGTCCTAGACTATGGAGGTTAAGATACTGCAATTTGTCACAAAGGTTTCAAACATTTTAGAAATTCAGGTTTTAGTGGAAGACTGTGTTGGAATATTGTCTCTACTAAGAAGCTCAGTTAATTCTGGACTCGGTTTCAGTTCCCAGGTGAAAGTGCTGCTGGTTGTATGTTTAGTATAGACGCATAAACACACGCAGCAGAGCACACCGGCAGCTCAATTCGGAATGGCTGCTCCGGGGCTCCTGGGTGAGGCAGGCAGCCACTGTTTCACAAACGCTGTTCACTGTAACTTTAAGAGAACCTGTATAATGCACAGTCGTTCTTTAGATCCATTAAATAAAACACAGCAAGGGGACAGATATCTTGCAAAATGGCTTTCAAGGTCAAGTCGAACTAGATTATAATGACACTGTGGCACAGAGGGGTCTTGTGAACATTCCTTGTTGCAACAGCACAACAATTATCAACTTTTGACAAGACTTTGTAGAGCCTTAAGTACCAACCTAAGATTATCTCCTACAACTAGGGCTGAGTCTTCCCAGAATGCCAAGGTACATATGAGGTCCACCCCATCACAGATTCTTTCTCATATTCACCTTGTAGGTAAGAGGTTTCTTTTTTTAAAACTAAAGTTTTGTAACTTTTAAAAGATATTTAACATTTTCTATCATATTAAATTAGCAACATAAAATGATATGCTTAATCTGTAAAGTTCTACTCTGGCTCCCTAAAATTTATATACATGTTTTTATTTCTAACCTGCAAGAAAAAAATCCTATTTGATATTTGGTAACAGAGCATTAAAAGGTCCTATGTACACGTGGCATACATATTTACAAAATACACTTCAAAAAGAAGCCAACACACTTTAGCAAAAGTCTGAACTTGCATAAATAAAAAAAAAGAATTAGGAATACAATTTTTATTAAAATAGAAAATGGGGAATAAAAGTTATAGAATGGATATGAAGAGAGACCTTTTCCAAACTTTTATTTGTGCACATTCAATTGAAAAAGATAACTTTTACAGGTTCTTTGGTGCCCATATTCAGCATACAAAAATGTAAAAGACTAGTCACAAATAAAACACATTAGCTCAAACTGGAAAAAAATAACAACAAAACAATTCAAGGCAGTGCGCACAGTGACAGCTCTGCCTGTGGGGACATGAGAATTACTGCGAAAATAAATAGAATGTCCTTCTGTAAAAGCAGCAATGTCATGTCTTGTAAACTTCCTTTTCCTATTACAGCAAAGTTTGAAATAAAATCCAAAGGGACTGGAGCTTACACTGTAGCCGTGAAGGAATAAAAGAGTCTGTTTCCTCAGTTACTGTTGGTCCAGTTTTCCTTTTGAGTCCAATGTGCAGCAGGTTTTAAAAGGTGCTCAGTTAGGGATTCTAACCAGTTAAGTGAAGAATTATAAAATTTCTTTCCTGCTTTCAAACACAAACGGGTAAATCTGTTCCACAGCAGTAGCAACAGCCTTGACGTTGGGCCCTGTAGCAAACACAGAGGAAGAGGCGGTGGGTGAGAGGAGGCAAAGAGAATGCTAGGAAAAAGTTCACTTCTCAGAATTGAAAGTATCCAAGCAGTTTTGGGGCTATTGTTTTAAAAAAAAAATCTATACACATAATTAATTATACAGAGTCATAATAAAAATCAAGAGAATAATTTTTTCCCAGACAATTAAAGGGAATCTGAAATAAAAATGTTATTCATCTTGTTTTAGGGTACCAGTGTGAAAAGTGTGTACATAAAAAACTGCAGACAAGGAGTGGGCATCTGAAGGAGAATAAAAAGCACTATTAAAGCGCTTATTAAAGGAAGCAATGCCAAATGGGGCTGGAGAAAACTAGTATCCTTTTGGTCACTGTAGTGTGGTTTATGGTTAGGCTACGACTGAAGCTCTCAGGGGTACTGGGAAACTCAGCAGAGTCCAGCAAAGCTGCTTCCAAAGTCACCCGAAGCTGCCGTAAACTACACAATGTGAAAACGCCCAGAGTCACTGCTAACCTGGCCCTCACCCGCACAGCTCACTCAGTCAACGGAAAACAAAGCAAGCTCAAGGAGATGAGGTGATACTGCATGTTAATCAATCTATATAATGCTAGGAATAACTTTTCAAAAATGTAATCTTTCACTTAAATAGCTTAAAAGAAACATAAAAGTAGACAATAAAAAGTATTTTCATAGAATTTATTTTGAATAAAAATGCTTTCATTAACTACACATACCTCCTTACTAGAAGGATCCTAAAAACATATATACACACACCCACTGTGTAATCTGTACTGACCATGTCTTAGGCTGGTCCACTCCTTCCTGACTCAGTTTACCCTCTCCAAATAGTACAGTGCTTTGCCCATGGGAACCACTGAGTATGGCTGAATTGTTACAACATTTCATAAAATATTCCAGATGTAAATATATAATACACACGAATTAATAGCCAGGTCAATTGTCTTTAGTTCATTATTGTGTTGTTTAGTTATCTATTAACTCAGTAAAGATAGATCTGACATACGCATCATTTTCTTCTACACTTAGCAGAGAGATTTATCGGTGTACCTCAGAGCACCTCACAGTCTGGGTTCCCTCCCAAGCGCAGAAAGAGGTGAAAGAGGGAAGAGACAGACCTGTTCCTCACCACTCCATCTTTAAGGTTCAGGCACAGCCCTGGCTTCGAGCCTTTGAGGTAATTGTGAAAACCCATGGGATGAGTCAAAACTAAAACGTACTTGTTGAGCATTTAATAGTGTGAATAATTTTTATTCTCCTTTAAGGGCTGAGGGAATAAAAAGAAAAACTCCAGGACACAAAAGAAATGTCCCGTAACTGTGCCAAGAGTTGGGCCTGATTCCCAACTGATGTCTCTGTACAACTTATAACCACAGCAGCTTTCAAAATCATCCCCCATGGCTAATGCTACCCTTTGACATCAAATACTTGACTTCAAAGATATAACGAAGTACACATTAATGTGTACAAACAGGTAACAATTGTATTTAAATATTTTGCTTATCCAAAACCTCTATCAAGTTCATAAAAATGGCTTTCTCCTGAGTATAAAATAAAAATATCTCCTTAAATAAAAATATCGTAAATTAAAAAAAATTATGAAAGTATGTACTAGAATATTCTTAACAGCTGCCAACTGGCCAGTATCCGAGTGTCTGTGCACGGCGCACCCACACACTGGACACGGGACAGCCCCGTGAAGGAACGACCCACAGACACTCTGAACCAGGAGGGCGGCCCTGCCTGGGACGATGACGAGGGAAAGACTGCAGACACAAAATAGCATGTTATTAGATTTTAAAATAGTATGTAAAAGTGAGTGAAACTAATCTACAGTGCTAAAAAATCAGAGGACTGGTTCCCTGTGAAGGGCACAAGTTACTGAAGGGGATGAATCAGACATCATCGCTACTTCGGCCTGGGTACCTGTTATTCAATATGTAAATGACACACGTAGTTCCAATATCATTAAATACCTGTTACTGTAATACTTCCTGTTGAAAAAATCTGTAATGTAGCTCGTAGAGATTTTATCCGGTAGCACACAGCAGGATGAAGTTCAGGTTCATAACTATACAAAAAAAGCCACAATATAAATAAATGTTCATAGCGCGACAAGTAATTTCAAATTTGGCCAAGTCACCTTGATTTTTTAAAGGCCTACCTGGCATGAGGTCTGTTGTTCTTTGTGAATTCTGGCAAACGGATTTCAAATGGCATGTTACATACTGCTAAAACGTTAACAACCTTAAAATCTGTAAATATTACCTTTAGGAGAGAAGTAAAGCTCAATAAATTACTTTGAAACAAACAAAAAATCTGCTCATTAGAGAATTTCTTAATGATTAAGTTTCAATCCTTAAAAATATAAGCAAATTAGATAAAACAAGTATCTTAAGCTTGGCCCCAGGATTCCATCAGTAACGCATGAAATGCTGTAATTACGAGACGCAAAAGTGTCACCAGGAAGACAGACGAAGCCCGACTACAGCAGCTCATCTGCCATCTCCTGAGTCTTCCGTTTAGTTTAATTTTTTGATACTTTAAATGGGATATTTAGTCTACTGAAATAAGAGAGCAAACAGAAAAAAAGAATCAAAGCACAGTCCTCTCAAGAGTCAAAATGAAAAAGCTGTCACTTTAAAAGTCAATAAATAAATAGTTGAGTGCACACTGAACTTCAAAGATCAGACTGCCATCTTACATGCAGTACAGTAAAATGGCCTTTCTGCAAGTTTAGCTAGAGGTTTGTTTTCTTTAAGGGAACAGAATGAAAGATAAAGTGATAAAATTGTGCTTTTAATTCATTACAATTTCTCTCAACATTTCTAATTTTATGCTAAGACAAGAGGATCCAAGGCTAAAAATAATGTCCTCTCAAGGTAATAACTTCAGTAACTCCTAACTGCATCTTGAATGGATTATTTTATCGCCTTTTCAAACACTCCTAGTAAGACCACAGTTCTGGATAAACTAACCATTCTCCAACTCAGCACCTGCACAAGATAGTTGCAGAAAGCCATACGATGGTGCAAAGAGGCCCCACCCTTAATCAGGCCTCTACCCTGCCGTCCTGGGGCACTCGGACCCCGCTGCTCACCCTTCAGTGGGTCCTCCCGCCTCAGGAGACAGGTCATCACAGGGAACCTCACCTTCCCACCCAAACTGCAAACAATCCAGGCTCACCTCTTTAGGGGCTATGGCTCATCTTTATATGGCTCATCTTCACCTTTCTTTCATTTACTCATTACCTGCAAGTGACCTAGCAGGTCCATAATATGTATTAATTTTACTCAAACTTATGCCTCTTCAAAATGTATCTGATGAGGTTAACCTGCCAGCAATGGTCACTGTACAAGTGGGAGAGCCAGCTAACTAGTGTGTACATACCAACAGGTCCTGCTCATTCTCATACTTATACCATTCTAGACACGATTAGAAACATTTTTTTTTTTGTTTTTTCCCCCCCGCCCTGGCTGGTATAGCTCAGTGGATTGAACACGGGCCCTGCAAACCAAAGGGTCGTTGGTTCGATTCCCAGTCAGGGCGCGTGCCTCGGTTGGCCAGGTCCCCAGTGAGGGCCATGTGAAAGGAAGCCACACACTGATGTTTCTCTCCCTTTCTCTCTCTTCCCTTCCCCTCTAAAAATTAATAAATAAAAATCTAAAAAAAAGATAAACCTATATAAACATATTTAAAAAAAAACACGTTTATTTGAAAGGAGGGGTGGGGTCATGGTTGTTTAAAAGTGAGAAAGAGTTGAAAAGGTAGTTAAGTCATAAGGAAACAAGTCTGTGTCTCTCTGTAAGAAACAATCTGAAAAAAGCCAGGATCCATTAACAATACCCATATGGACAAGTTTTGCTACTAAATTTTTACACTGAAAAACAGTATAAAAAAAACCCCTAGAAAATGGTCAATCATGAGAGTAGTCTCTGTACAGATTTCTATAGTCTACTAAACTCAAAATTTTAACTTTATAAAAATAAATTCTTGAATATCTGCAGTTTGGATATTTTTTGAAAATGTTACCTGAAAACCTAGTTTCTGCAGACAGCGGGCTAAACGTCTGGCACCAAATTTAGCTTCTTCTTCACTATGGTTTTAAGGAAAAAAACAAAACAAAACACTATTATACAGGAAGTCAATTTATACTGAGGAGCATGACAAACTATACATATAATTTTGTGTCTATAAATGTCCCTTCCATGGAGGGAAAATTAAAACGAAAAACCCAAGTAAAATTTACCTTGTTGCTCCAGTGCAAATAATTTTTCCTGAGGACCAAATTGTAGCTGTTATTCTAGGTTTTCTAAGTTTCATTAATACTTTCTGAAAACAAAACAAAACAAAACAAAACAAAACACAGTAAGGATTAATTTTTATATATGGTTCTGCTCTATGTGGCTATTTTAATGTTTAAATACTACTCGAATCTTACCCACGAGCAAAGTAACTATTCTCTAAATCACTTACCCATTCTGAAATCAAATACTATATTGAACATAAGAATGCATTAATCCAAAAAGACATTTAATTAGTTAAAAATATATGGTTTGTATAAATCTCTCAAGGATACCTGAAAGCAATGGACTACAAAGTATGTACACATTCCATCTCTCACTCCACTTCAGTCTCATAGCTGGAATTTATAAGTTCGCACGGACCCTCAAACACGGCAAATCTGTTCACACCTCAGGAGCTCTGCAGCATCTGAAATGTTGTTCCTTCTTATTTTCATTTCACTCGAGTCTCTCACCGGATGTCACTTGGGCAGCAGCACCTCCCTGCACTGTGCCACCAGACTCCCATCCGCTCATCCCTCTGTAAGTTCTGACCTTCTTCCTCTGCTTCATGGTACCCATCACCACTTTATAGCATCTCCCAGTTGAACTGCCTATTGCATATTCGAGTTCTATATGTACATTTTGGATGCAGGAGAAAAGCTGGAGCTAGATGTAATGTTAGATTTCTTAGATTTGACAGGCATTTAAAGCAATGGCTTTAAATAAAATTACCTACAGAGTACAAGTAGGTCAAGAACTGAGGTCCAAGATAATATGTGAATTTAAATTTTCATTGTGACTTTTCATTTATGGAAATATTTATCATATGTCCATTATGTGTAAGAAATATTTATTATGTAACACATAAATGAATGAGACAGTCTCCTTAAAACACCGGTTACATTCTGAGGTCTTCTCTTTCTCTGCCAGGTGCCACATCATCCAACTAGAAAGCTACAAAATTTAACAAAGACCCAAAATAAAATGTGAGCTAAAATAAATTATAAAACTCCAAACACAAGTAACTGCAAAACACTACACTGCATTTATTCTACACTTAATCGTCTTTCACCACCAACTTGCCCATCAGCTCAGCCGTTCAGTTAACCTTCCTACAACAGAGGACTTCTCTGCCATACGGTGTGTTAAAAGTTCCTAAGTAGCGTTAGGCAGTTTCATCTCTAAACTTTTTAGCAAGTATATTTATTCCTTTTAAAATGAAGATGGAATTGTTAATAAACTTGAAAACCTTTCTGTGTCATTTAAAGTTTTAATCGAATTTAATTAATCTTTACTTAGTTTCTAGCAATAATTTACCTAGGTATACTGGCATCTATTTTTCAGAACTTAAATAAAGCCTTCAAATATATTCTTAATTTTCATAAAAATATATGAGATATATATCTCATCATTCTTTGGTTTATAAAAGCCAAATGAACCCCCACTGTCATTTGTAATATTAATCTCAAAACACTAAGATTGAAAGCAAGTTATCAGCTTTCATTTCAAATATTATAGGTTTAACATTTAGAATGCACAGATTAGGATATAAGCCGTACTTTTAGCAACTTGTTACTAAAGAATACCAACTATCTTGGTTAATTAAAGAGGGCTATGACAATATAAAATTTACTACCATCCATCCATCCATCCATCCATTGGCACCATTCAAACGTAATTATATTCGAGTAAGTAAGTAAGCATACACGTAGGTAAAGTCCTCTTCAGTCAAAAGAAGCTGAGAGAACTGTATAAGATTCTTTGGAAAGACTTGGAGATAAGCATCTTGAAAACCTGCTCTTTCATTAGAGCAGGGGCCACTTCTTCAGGGCTCACTGTTGCAGCCAGTGCAACTAGAACATGGTAAGATGCTCATAAACTATCTGGAGAATGAGTACACTGTAGTACATCATTCATAGCACCATACAATTAGGCTCTGTACATACTAAATACATACCAAAATTCAGATACTTACTCCAACATCACGCTTATAAATCACATTTGCTCCCTCCAAAGCAATCTTCCTTAAGTTCAAATGGCATCTTGTTCTAAAAACACAGACTACATTTGTAATTAGAATGTCCAATGCAACATCACTGTCTGCATCCATTGGGGTAGTTTAAAAACTTAGCTTCCCACCACGAAGATCACATCCTGAGAAATAAAACAAAATAAAGTAATTAAATGTAAATGTTTTCCGAAATTCTTACAAATAGTCTTGAACACTAAAATGAAAAAAATTAATCTGTATTATTTTTCAATGTTAAATCAAATCATGTCCCTTCCTTTGCCCACTAAAAATGCCATTTTAAAAAAGATAGCATGTCATTTAACATCCAACTTTCACTCCTTAAATTTAATAATTAACTTTTTATGTGCCAGGAGGCTGCCAGTTTTCCTCTTGCTACTTGCCTTTACAACCACTATGTTTTAGTTGTATCACAGGTAACTCTCCAAACACACCAAGTTCAAGGGGTGACCTTTGTGGTTCCAGTGTCTAATCATTAATGGTACTACAACCTATCTCACGCTTGCTAGAGCTATGAAAAGGATGACCTATTTTTCCTCTATTTAAGTAGAGTAACTGACTTAAGTTTAAAGAAAGCAGGAATATTATTTGTAACATTTATAAACAAACTTTTCTTATTTACTAGTCATTCATTCATTATTTACTTACTGAACACCTACCATCCAGTAAGGAAACTGGAGAAAAAAATAAGTAAGGCCCAGACTTTTGTCCCCAAGGAGCTCACAGATCTGTGTGTGTGTGTGTGGGGGGGGGGGGGGGGTGGTTGGGGGGGCAGCTCTAACAAACAGCACAACACCATTTTCATTAAGATCACAATCTTCCAAAATATCTTTCTCTTCAAAAATACTGACAGAAGAATTTTCATAAACAAACACAATGAGCCCTAGTCTGTACTAAGCATAAGACCCATATTCCAGCCAAAAAACTCTTTGACTGGGTTTCCACATCTTAAAAGAAATAATGATAATTTAGCTTCCCTAACCCACAAAGAGAAAATCAGAAAATACAATATTATTATAATGATCTTTAAGATTCCTTGCAGCCACAAATTAAAGAACTAGTGTCTTTTGTAAGGATTCAAATTATTTATGTGACTAATACAATGAAGATGCCAAGAGTCCAAGTACAGAAAATTCAATTTTGCTTTGCTGCCTTTCGGTGTCCTCGAACACAATGACAAGCCAGACCCCAGACTTCTAGAACCCACACAGGATTACACTGCACCTACTTCTGTGTATCAACTGTACCTCAAGTTCATTGTATTTTCTCACTTTAATGCTCCTTTCAACCTGCTTATTTTCTTGTGTTTCTGTTCTCTGTGTGTTTAGCAACCTCAAATAATTTTTATCTATAAGGTGTGAGGCAGGGGTGGCAGTGGCCCTGATTAATAGATATATAGGTAGATTAATAAGCAGAGGACAGAGGCAATTATCAGCACTGATCTTATGCAGCAGGATCAATGGCTGACTAACCACTTACTAGTTAGGAGAACTTGGGCAAGTTGTGTAACTTGTCTGTGCCTTGGTTTTCTCATTTACAATATGTAATAAGAGATGGTGCCTTACGAGATGGTGTTGTGGGGATTATATGAATTGTGTGAAAAGTACTTAGCACATATATCTGGGAAATAGTAACACAAACATGACAGCAATTATGGATACAATAGGTTCAAATCAACAGGCAGAACAGAGACCCCTGAGCATCACTTCCCACGATGCTATTGTAACTGTAAAGTAGAGGCTCCTGGCTGCTCACCCCAACATCCGTTCTGCCCTTCCTTCACAAGCAACAGAACCCTGACGCCTAGCTGTGTACACCGTAGCAGAAATAAAGTGCTCTACTTTTCAGTTCTTGGGCAACAGGTACAGCCAAAAATCCACATGACTCTGTCTGGTCAATGAAATGTAAAATGAAATGGTTTTCTGTCTTTTGGAAAGTAGGTTCAAAGGGGCTGAACTAAGCCAGCAAAACCCCCTTTTGCCTTTCTGCCCCTCTTCCTTCTTGCTGCTTAGGGCCAGGATGAGAGAGCTGGAGCTCAGGGAGCCATCTGGAATCGGGCGACTATGAGGAAAGGGCGGCAGAAGAAAAACCGTTCAGGAGAAGCAGCTTGAGTCCCTGATACCATGACACTCCGTACTGTCCCTGGTACTTCCTAATTCCAGGTTTCAGGAGTGTGAGATGAAAACCAGTTTCCACAGTAAGGCCCTCAGGTTGAATTTCTGTTGTGTGCAGCCACACCTAATCCTAACTGACACACATCCCATGAGAATAAACTACAAAAAACACTCCTTAAAGATAAATTACATTAAAAAAAAAACTACATCAAATCTACTGCTTCACAAAGATTTTTTACATCAAACAAACTGAAACAAACAGACTCAGATCTGCCTCTCTGAGTATTATTAAGCTAGGGAGAACTGAGGGGAGAATTCAAGGGCAATATGTAGGTAAAAGTATGTCAAGAAAGGGGTAAAGCAAATCTTTGTGAATGCAAAAAAGTCTTGAAATTAATTCAAAATCGATGATTATTTTTGTAGTTCAGCAGTTTAAGAGGTCATGGACATAGTTCATCATGAGTAGTGTTCATATTCTAGAATAGCAATGTGGCAAAAGCAGCCTCAGGAAATACTATGGCTTTAATAGGGTTTACGAAGTCAATACTTCTTTTTAAAGATTTTAGTTATTTATTTTTAGAAAGAGGGGAAGAGAGGGAGAGAGGGAGGGAGAGAAACATCGATGTGAGAGAAACGTTGATGGTGTTGTCTCTCACAGGTCCCCACCTGGGCACCGGGCACACAACCCAGTCTTTCATGTAGGCAAATCCAGGCATAATCTTTCACATAGGACGCCTTTCTAAAAGTACTGCCCTGGCTGGTGTGGCTCAGTGGATTGAGTGCCAGGCTGTGAACCAAAAGGTCACCTGTTCGATTCCCAGTCAGGGCACATGCCTGGATTGTAGGCCAGGTCCCCAATAGGGGGCGTGTGAGAGGCAACCACACATTGATATTTCTCTCTTTCTCCCTCCCCTCCCCTCTCTCTAAAAATAAAATCTCAAAAAAAAAAATGCATCTTGAGAAATAATTAAACTAAGCAAAGTATAAATAAGATTATACACTGCAATTTTGTTAATAACAGACTAACCTATGCGTCTTATTTGAAGGGACTGGTTAAATAAAGGAACAGCAGTTTTATATAACAGACTACTAAATAGATTTTACAAGTTATAAAACTACACGAATGTAGACAGAGTTCCAAAATCTGGAAAAAAATTATGTTTGATTAGAATTCATTTTGGTTTATAGACCTATGGATGAACTTACATACTTTATACAGCCAAGATGTTAACAATTATTCTATTCAAAGTTGGCATGTCAGTGACTGAAAAAAAATTTTTTCTTCTCTTGTTTTGTAGTCTAGATTTTTCTTTTAAAAAATCCCCCAACAAATTTTAGGTTTGCTGAAAAAAAAATAAAGTTAGTTCTGTTTTGATTTAAATTTAAATCATCAGTTATTCTCCCACTGCCCAAGGCCTAATATTAAGACATGGTTTAATCAGGTGTTTTTCCTGTTTCTGAAGTAAATACCTAGTATGAGTTTAAATATATCCTTCTGATAATAAAAAGCAAAGTTTAAAATTGCACCTTCCTAAATTCAGGAAATGTCACATTTCTAATCCCTGTTAAAATACATTGTGGAAGTTGAAGCAACTTCTTCCTCGATCCATGATTTTACAGACAAGAACATATTGTGTTCTTTAGTGATATTTAAAAACATTACTTCAGCAACCTGCAACCTTAAAGCATCACCTGGAAAACACTGCCACCTCCTGGCTGTTAAGACAAATTGCACCCAAGGCTACTACATTTTAAAATTTCCACACCAGGGATATTAAACTGAAAGGCCATAATAAACAATGTCATAAAAACAAAGCAAAGATTACTCTAAAGTCTAACAACAAGCCAAAAAACACCAAAATAAACCTTCGAATACAGAAAAGATGACTCTAGCTAAAGTGTATTCATTTGCATAATAAGATACTGAGGGAGGGGCCTAAAAGCTTAACAAAATTACCATCTATGATTTAAGAAGTATAACATGGTCCTTCATGAGAACCCCAGTTTGAAGTGAACAGCTCTAAGAGACACAGATCCTGAATGATAAAAGATATTAGGGAATTACTATTAATTCTGTTAGTGAAAGAGTAGTTACATAGACAAATATGCTTATTTTTTCAGAGATCATTCAAAGGGAAATGTCATGTTTGTAATTTACTTTAAAATACAGTTATTTTTCACTATCTGACCTTAGTAACAAATAGATTTGGATACAGTTTAAAATGGCAGAAGGGACAGACTGGGAATAGACTAATTTGCAAACACAACATGAACCCGCATGGCCTCCCAGGGATCATTCTTTTCCAAAAGTAAGACATGCCATTTAAACCAACTCTTCCCTAGGAAGCTCCCGAAATAGCAGACTAGGAAACAGACATTTGCACAGTGATTCTGACCCACTGCTGTACTTGACAGTCTCTCAGTACATGCCTGTGGCCAAGACAGAGACAATCAAACATTTGCCTTTGGAGAGAGGGTGTTCTTTTACACCCATTTAATGGTATAGAATATACCTTACTTTTTTTTTCTGGAAATTGGTAATAGTATCACTGTCCCTACCAGGGTGCTTCTAAGGATTCAATTTAATCATCTACGTAAAGTACATAGCATACGATATGTTTGTTAAAAGGCAGCCATTACTATTTGGTAGATTCACATAATTGAATATTGTAACTGAACAGTCTTCAACGAATTGATACAAAGCTTGAGAAAAGTCACGCTAACAGAGAAAACCAAGATCTTAACAGGTTAGGCAGGAGTCAGCAAACTATGGCCAAAGGGCTAACGCCTGTTCTGTAAAAACGGTTTTACTGAAACCACCACGCTTATGTGTCTATGTAAGAACGACGGCACAGCTGAGCATCCTGACAGAGACCAAATGACCCACAGCTTAAATTAGTTACTACCTGGGCTTTTAAGAAAAAGTTTGCTGTTTCCTGGGCCCAATAAGTCAGTATCAATAAAATAAAATTTAACACTGATTAATGTGAAGTTCACACATTTTTATTAAA